GCCCAATATCACTTAATTCTGAAATCATTAAGACACTCAAATGTCCATCAAACGTCATCCGATCAAGGGAAGCTATCCGGACCGTTTGATCAAAATGATTCATATTCTTGCATTAATGACACCCAGAACACTATAAATAGAGCCCCACCTCTCACATGTGAGGGGAGGGGGCTTAAGATATAACTTGAGGCTTTCAGAAAGAGTTCAAGTCCAACATCATCTCTGTCATCGTCGGGGGGGCGCACCCAGACCACCGCTGACCTCTATCGACCACCGTCGGCCACCGTTGACCGCCGCCAATCACCGTTGACCTCCGTCGACCACCGTCGACCGTCATCGACTGTCTTCGACCACTGCTGACCTCCGTCTACTATCGCCGACCATCATCGATTGTCGTCGACTACCGTCAATCACCACCGACCTCAGTCGACCACCGTTGACTAGACTTCGTCAGTCCACGTTGTAACTTAGAAAGCTAGTAACCCTTTCCCGCCTATGGGAAAAGGGGATATCTGTAATCATCAACTTATAGTGGATTTTTACAACTAGGCCAGACCCCGTTATTTTTCCTCTTTACGGTTTTTCCACATAAAAACTTCTTGAGTTATCACCGTTTGTTTTCTCTTTTATTTGTGTGTGTGTTGAACTTTCGTACAACGCTAAGACGATAGTCCGTTACTCTACCACAGCGAATTTTCTAGCATGTATATATATATACGACCTTTAAAGAGACTGATCTACTAACAGACTACGGAAGATGTATATATATTATGTTGTGTGTGTAACTTTTTCTTAAAAAAATAATTGCTTGAATTACAACTTCGTATACTTACTGCTTCCTCAATATAAAGTAAATATATCAAAATTATTTTTACATTATACAATAATAATAAAAAAAATATTTATTTTTATCCGACTCTTTATCATTGACGTGTTGTCCTTTTCGTCCACAAAAGCATGAACCACTCAACCGAACCTAACCATGGTTCATGACAAATGACCCACAGTAAAAAAAAATGAAAAAATTGAAGGGCACAAATGCAATAAAATTTTAATTTATTTACCATTACACTAAAACATGTGTAGGTCTTGACTTTTCAGTACCTTGACCGCCCTTCTGCAATAATTGAAATTTTTATTTTATTTCCAATTTGATGGAAATAATTGAGAGGCCATCATGTTCATGCCGGCTCATATTTGGACTCTGCTTCCAAATTTATGGCAATAAAAATAAAAGTTTGCATTTAGTTTTGCATGAATATAGCTCACAATCATAGAGAGATGATTGATTGGAAGATGACAATTAAGCGCTAATGGGTTGTAGATGATCGTCAGGCGACAGTGATCAGATGACGATAATCAGAAGATGATGATTAGGAATGCAGGCTCGGCAATGAGAGACGGGTAGGTAGCCGGGCGAGATTCATCAGGTGGTGGTACTCGGGCAGACGATCGTAATTAGGTGATAATAGTTGAATAATTTGGATACTTGGGTTAATTATAAGCATACAAAATTCAAATATTGGTTAATTGACATCACAAAATTCTTAATCACACTTAATGTGTTTGATTTGGGCTCATTTTGAGGAGCGCTTTTTCTGTCTAGACTCATGACCTACCTCTATGTGCGGCGTAGATTATTCTTGAGTTATTTTCAGGTTATTTCTGAGTTATTTTCAATAATCCTGAAATAACTCAGAAATAACCTGCGGTCTTTTTTTTTTTGTTATTTCTGGGCTATTTCGGTATTATTGAAAATAACTCATAAATAACCTGAAAATAACTCAGAAATAACTTCCACTGCATGTAGAGCTACGTCAGGAGTCTGCACAGAAAAATTTTTGTATTTTGAGCCGTATTGTTTGGATATTTTATTTTATTATAAATTTATAAAAATTGCAGTTCAGATAGTTTTAAATTTAATTCATGAATTTAAGAGCCGAATCTCACTTGACATCATCATAAGATAAAATTTAAACATTTTCAATAAAAAATAAATCTCTTCAAGAGGAGTGATTCAGACTACATATTATTTCGAAAAATTCATTATTAACTAACTTTTATAATAAAAATAATTATAATTCTAACATTTCAGAATAAATTCAAAATTATGAAAAAAAGGTTATAAAATTGTTGAATTTTGATCGAAATTACGCATGAAGTTTATATAAAAAATGTTGGTGATATTCTAACTAGGGTCGTAAACGAGCCGAGCTTGAGCGAGCTCAGGCTTGGCTCGTGTTCGGCTCATTTGAAATAATTCGTGTTCGAAATCGGCTCATGAGCAGTGTGTTCGTGTTCACTCCATTTAAATATTCGTCTTAGTGTTTGACTAGTTAAAATTGAACTTAAAAAATAGATATAGAGGCTGGATTCGAACATGGACCAAATGCATGTAAATGAATGTGCATAACCACATTATCACACGAGCAGTTATGTTTTAAACTTAAATATAAATATATATAATACATTATTATATAAATAATATATGTAATATATTATTAGATAAATAATTATATATATATTTTTTTTATTTCGAGCTAATACAAATTTAACACGAGCAAACAAAGAGCTGTACGTGTTCAACTTGTTTATTATTTGAGCTTTAAAAATTTATTTATGTTTGGCTCATTTATTTAATGAATGAGTCGTACACGAGCTGTTCACAAACAAGTAGCTTTTTGGGCATCCCTAATTCTAACATTATTTTCGCTTTTGTTTGGGGCTTGAAAAAGTTTATGAAGAATAATGTTTACATTTTTAAAAAGGAATAAAAATCGATGCCCCATATCTCAATAATAAATTCTTAAGATACTTAAATCATTATCTAAACAACACCAAGAATATTTTTTTATTTTTTTATTGGGAGTTTCACCATTTTCAATTTTGTAGCGTGGGGAAGGTCAAAAGTAATCGGCTGCTGATTGGCGCCAAAAAACATGACCTTTAGCAGCACTGTCAAAGAGAAAAATATTACATCAGTACTACGTACGTAGAGTAATGTGTGTACCCAATAAAATCAAGCCACGATACCCCGCGCGACGTAGAAAAAAAACGGCGCAGTAACACGGGGAATATTCCCCCTCGTGTTATTTATGTGTTATTGTGTGTTATTCATGTGTTATTGTATCATGAAAATATTCCTGATGTTATAATAACACAATAACACATGAATAACACATAATAACACAAGAATAACACGGGAGAGAATATTCTCCCGTGTTACTGTGCCGATTTTTTCTCTGTCGGGAATATTTCCCGTGTTATTCAAGTGTTATTGTGTGTTATTCATGTGTTATTATTTCCTGAGAATATTCTTGGTGTTATAATAACACAATAACACATCAATAACACATGAATAACACGCAATAACACATGAATAACGCGCAATAACACATGAATAACACGGGAAAATATTTCCCGTGTTACTGCGCCGTTTTTTTTGCTCTGCAACGCGAGATGTTTTGACGTGTTTTGATTGGCTAAGTACGTTATTTTTACATGCGTAATACTGATGTAATATTTCTTCCTGTCAAAGACTCTGTCTTTGGCTAGTTGGTTAAATTAAATAGCGGAACACGAATAATATAAATAAATATTTATTCATTCACATATTATTCATTTTAGTTTGAAATACTACTAATTAATTATATATATATATATATTTTTAATGAGTAGTATTTAAAAAAAAATAATTGACTACAAGACTACAAAAATTTATAATCAATTAAGAGTATTAATGAAGAAAATAAAATACAAATTATTAAATTAGATTCAAATGATGATTTAAATCTTGCCACAATCCTTAATATCTTATGCCTATGTGATTAATATTGTCAAAAGAACTCTTTGTTCGTGAAAAGCTCGTGTTCGGCTCCCTTGCTATTTTTTGAGCTCGGAATATAAAAGAGCCGAACACAAACTGAGCTTAAGCTCTCTCGTGTTTGGCTCATTTACACCCCTAACCTTTAGTGAGCCAATGTGACAATACAATAAATAGAGCAACATCTGCTAAAATAATTATTAAAACTCAATTTTTAAATAACAAAAATATTATTTTAATATTTTATAAATTCTGAAATTAAAACTACTCGGAGATTAATTTAACAACGAATAAAATTTTGGATGTTAAATATATAAAAACATCAGAATTATATAAACCTTTCATTAAAAAATATTTACATAATCTAAAATATTAAAAATCGTAGATTGCTATTTTAAAATCGCATAAAATAAATTTGTACATTACAACGGTTAAATGTAAAACAAGTTAAAAAATAAAAAATAAAAAAATGAAATGTTTATAGATATCATAAGATACGGGGGTCCCGCATAACAACTTGCGTCCACATCGCACACTACCCAACAAAAGAAAATAAAGAAAATAAATAAATAAATAAATAAAAATAGACGAGACACGGTAGCCATCAGCCAGCCTGTCCCTCTACGACTCTCTCATGAAAAGTATAACACAAATAATTCAGGCCCAGCAAACACGCGAATCCCCTTTTTTTAATTTTTAATCATCACCAAATGTCCCATAAATAAATTAACCCTACTCGTGGAAACATAAATAAAAATAAAAAAAAAAATAAAAAAAATCAATATAGTGCAAAAAAATATTCTTTTCGTGTTATTCCGCATTATTTAAGCATTATTATAGTTGTATTTAAGTGTTATTGTGTTCTAAAAATATTCCCGATATTATAATAACACAGTAATACATTAATATCATCACAATAACACCTAAATATTATTGTGTTATTGGGTCGGATCACAAGAAAGCGCACGTGTTTTCTTAAAGTCAGTGTCCGCATATCAGTGGAGTCTGAACGTAGCTCTACGTTCCTGATGTATAATTCGAATAAATAACATAAAACATTTATACTTCAAAAAAAAAAAAAAAAATTTTTTTCCGACTATAAGTAAATTTATATAAATATAGGAAAATTTTGAAAATGAGGGAATGGGCATAAATAAATTAAAATTAAACAAGGAAGTACAAAGAGCACAAATCAAAATTGCTTATGCTCTCCTAAAATGTTATTAATAAAAATATAGTACAATTAAGTCCATAATCCTACTACAAAGTGCGTGGTTAGTAGTAAATTAAGCAGAGCTACAATAGAACACTTGCGCTTGAAACAGAGGAGGAAACTGATTAAGAGTAGGGAGCCTTCAATCTCTTTGCCGTGTGGATGAAGCCCACAATAGCCTGCATCTCATCCACTTGCTTCATGGAATTAGAGAGGAGGGGGTTATATGTCAATAAATTTGGGTATGAATGTAATTTGACTAATAATAGGGGGCTTACTTGTGAGAGGAAATGATGCTGGACCCCAGTGATAAGTTGCTGCTTCGATGGATTTGGATTGATGCTCACCTAAATAATATTGCATGAAATATATAAAATAATAAGAAAAAATTAAGTGGATGATTGAGAAAACAGATTTGCAGAAAATAGGCTCACAAGATTGAAGTGTTTCCAGTATCTCCACAACGTCGCTGTCCCCAGCTTTGCCAGATTTACCCTCTGCAAAGAAAATTTTGGATGAAGTAAGAACAATGTTAGGGAAACAGAGGACCACGATTCAGCATCATATATTATTATATTATTATCAGTAATTCAAAGGTTCCACTTTTATGATTTGATGTTTTATTTTACTTAGAAAAGGGGGAAATAAAGATCTTTAGCTACAAAATATCATGCCCAAATATAGTTTTCTGAATACTAAATTAGTTCTAATTTCAATTTTCAATTATCACCCCTCTAACATTGAAATGAAAAAATGAGACTTTGGCAAAGTGTAATAATTCAATCAAGCCAATAATACTAGGTTAAGTAGCTGCACGCAGAGTCATAAAGCAATTAAAGTTTTGTTTTTGTAATGAAGAAGATGGTAGACAATCTTGATCTCTTTAAAATATACATAAAATGAGATTTTTGTGAGTTTACGCAAATGATTCTGGTTGGAGATTATTGCATGCATGGCAACCAAAACTTATCTCTTTACAAAATTAACATCCATGTCATGCTTTAAATTATTGAACTCATGTGTTTTACGTGTTCAGATGTCAAACAATTGAAGATTTTATAAAAACAAGAGAAGTAAGTCTACTGTTTTATTATGAATTTTGATATTGGGATAAAATTTTGACAAACGGATGCAAAAAGGTTGTTTTTTTTTTCTTTGTAAATATCAATGTTTCCCAGTGTCATTATGAAATTGCTTGGTTTCTTACCAAGTGAGGCTTGTGGTTATTGGCCTGCAGATCTCTGTAACTGCTACGATTAGTTGATTTGGCTGAGGAAGTCCAAGGCCTTGTGTGCCTCACCCTTGGCTTAGTTGGCTTGTGAAACTCTATGCTAGCTGTGAAAAAATAATGGTTTTTATTGATAAACTATAATGTCCGGCTTTAAAAAAATCAGCTTTTTTTCATTTCGACTGAATAGATCAAGAAAAAAAAATGTAATTATATAATTTAACTTACGATAATCACCATCTTTATCTCCCATGTCAGAGCTGCTGCAGAATGAGTTGTCACAATCCATTTCTTCATCATCTTCTTCGTTACCCGTTGGAGCTTCCAATACACTAAGCGCATTTCTTTGCAGCTTCACTTCCACACCATTTTTAAGGACCTACAAATTTGAATTTTCAACTTAGAGAAATACTCAAAAATGATTTCTTTAAAGAATTAATATAATAACTTTATGAAATCTAAGGAACACCAATGCTAAATCTTAAGAATTGAGGGATAATCATAGTTAAAAAAATGATTAAATCTATGAGTAAATAAATTTTACCAGCCAGTGCCAACCACCAAGGCCTACAGCCTTCTTGACAACGCCTTGCAGGCCAACCAGAACAGACTTAGTTCTATTGTTTCCAGTCACAATTACTTTGGTGTGCCTCGGAAGAACAGAGAGCTCTTCATCTCCACTTTCTTCTCGAGAAGGAGACAGAACACGAGATGAACACAGTTCTGCCTCAATCATCATCTAATAACAAACACGAAAGAACTCAGAATAATCAAAACTTTAAAAAATGAAATCCATCAAACAGTTTTCTCATCATCAAATCATTCCAATCAAATACTTTCATGATTGTTACAGTGAAATAACAGCAATCAAAGATTAAAATGAAACAGAAAATTTGCATTCATTTCAGCAAAAAATCATTTGCGCACTCTTTGGAACTCAATCTTAATCTTAATCTTGAATTAAAAATCTGAAACTTAGTGACCAAGATCTGAAGAAATTTAACAAAAACAGTAGTACGATAGAAAGATGATAGTTTTATTCAGATCAGGCCCTACCACAATAATTATCGGTGAAGTGGAAATCAACCAAACATTAAAACAGTGATTTATAGTCATGATTGCAACCAAACTAAATTATAAGAAAAATTTCCTTTTCCAGCAAAAAAAAATTAATGCAGACCTCATCCACATATAATTAGGAAGACGAAAGCACAGATAATTACCATTTCTAAAATATAAACCAATAATATAAACGGAGCCATGAATAGAATTGGAATCAAGAACAAGCAAATGAGCAAAGATAGAAATGAAGAGTAATTAATATTCATCAGAAAAGGAATCATTGCTTTTTTTTTTCATCGTGCAAATTAATCTGTTAATATGAAATCCATTCATGAATTACTTAAAATAATTGATTCTAACTCCACCGCCGCACTATAAAAAGATAGACAAATCGAAAGCAGCCGCTCAAAGAAAATGCAGCTAAAACGAATAAAGATCTTAATATTGCTTCCTTTTTAGGTAGCATATTCTTTAAAACAAAACTTCTTGAAAACAATTTGAAAATCCCATTTATAAACATTACAAATTATTAAAATAATAATTAGTACTATCAAGCTCGAGAAAATCTTTGGTAGTGATCAACAGCATTAACATTGAAATGCAAATTCCAATTTCCAGATCTCATTTCTCTCAAATCGTGTCAATCCAAAACTGAAATCGAACTCGAGATCCCAAAAAGAAAACACAAAATAAAGTTATTCGCTGAATTTCTGCAAAAAACATACTTGAAGATGAGATCATTCATCTAACAAGAGCAATACATTACCTTCGAAATCTTCAGATCCAAAAACTGATGAGATCGAGCAGGCAGCTCAAGAAAGAAGTCTGCAACACAATCTAAGCTAATGAAATCGGAAGATCGTGTTTAATCGCCATGAATGATCGTGTCAATCTGTAACAATACTCAAAGAAGATTAAAGAAGAGGATTTCTTCAATTTCAGAAGTGAGGGAAGCAGAGCTAGCTTCAACTTCGAAGACGGAGCTGAGAAGAGAGGGGGAGAGCGAGAGGGACAGAGCAGAGCAGCAGCAAACTAAATGCTCCCCAACCGCCCAGTGAGGCCACAGTCTTTTCTTTTTATTTCTCCGTTGGTCCCCATTAATTATTAAATTACATTGTTGTACCTCAAATCTCGGCTCGGCTCGGCTCGGCTCAAATTTGTTTAGGGTGTGCGTGAAGTGCTCCTTATGTCTGAATATTTAAGGAGGCAGGAATCTAGTGGTGGTGTGAATAAGTTGTTGAAGTAATATATAGATACTTGGTTATGTCAAAAGTAAATGTAGTAAAATGAACTCATTAATGTCGGCGGTGGATGGTGGCGGCGGATGCTGGCGGCGGGCAGCTCGAACTGCAACAGGAGGTGGCACAGAGCGATGGGTGGAAAGCTGCAACAAGTAGTGGCATTTGACGATGGGTTTTGATCAGTGGCAGAAAACGATTGCAAGTGGCAATCTGCAACACGTAGTTGACAACAACCGTTGTCTCCACCAGCAATGATGATGGGTGGCGGGGACTGGTTTGTGTGGAGACAATGAACGACAGACTACTATGTAGAAAATGAACGGTAGCATCTATGGTGTGGCTGTGGTGAGAGGAGACCGACAATGCCATGAAGCAACATCACTTTACGCAAATTAGTGTATTTGAAACTTGTCAGATCTAGTGAACTTTAAATACATTTAAAATGGATTATAGTTTAAATTGAGAAGAGATTAGGATTTTACGTTGAATTTTTGCTCCTGTGATCAAACTTTTGAATTTCTAAAACCTCTACAAAAAGGATATAATGTACTCATTTTTTGCTGCCAACCAAATTGCCTTTAAAGCTCATTGAGATTCGGCTCTTATATTCAATGGTTGGTCACGTCAATGGCTTCTCTGTGTCGTTAGTTACATCTAATATGGGGACACAAACGTGACATAATATCAACACATGACACTTTTATTATTGAAAATATAGAGCAAGAATAAGTTTCGCATTATAATATGAATGGCTATTGACATCCGTATCACTTAATTATCATGTTTTTAAATATCAAACACCCAATCTACGCTATTTATATTTATATCGCCCAAATTTTTCATATCACGTCTAAAATATTAAGAATAATAGGAACAATAAATAAGAGATAATAAGAAATCCAGGATCATTAGCTTTAATGAACTAAGAGATTCATAAATATTATTTAGTTTATGATGTAGGATAAATAAGCACTAAATATCTCGATTTACATCAAAATAAGTTTTAACCTTTTGATAGAAAATAAAATAGTTTCATTAATATTTTCCAACTTAAAAATACTTTTATAAAATTTTAATTCATTAATTTAGGACACTTGTTTTATTTTTTCTAAATATTATTTAAATCAGATACTTCATGTCGTATCTGTCGTATCTGACATGACATGGGATTTTGTCAAATGTGTGTTCATATATGATATGTGTTTTGTAGTATACTGATCCTCAATTAAAAGTGTTTGTGCATTGTAAGTGAGCTCTCCCCATAACTTCTTTTTTCCGGCTAGAGTTTGATTGACGAGCTAGAGCTTGAGTACGACTTGCAATTTGAAAGCAAATCGGGTTTGAGTCGGCTCGGCTTATTCGTAATCCTACATTAATCACCTTTATTTTATTTTTTTTTATTTCATTTCCTATTTTTTTATGTCGCCAAAAATCAAAATCAATTTTTTTTTTTTTATAAAGATTGGTCAGAGGTTATTAGGCGAGCCTCCCAACTAACCTCATGTGCCTAAGAATTCTATTCCGCATATAGGCGAGATCGAACCCATGACCCCAACGGTCTTACAAGCTTTGCCAATCAAAGAATCATGGTAGGTGACACGTCACCAAAAATTCACTTGATACACATAAATATTAATATATTTTAGATTAAAAAAGAAATTCAGAGTCAAATTTAAGATCAAATGAGTTCTAATTTAAAAGTCAAATGATCTCTAAATTTAGTCTTCTTATAATTAAATTGAGCATTTCCATGAGAGGAATTCAGCAAGCCAAAGAACATTTAGTTTAAGGGTTGTTAAGAAATTTAAATACTAAAATAATGACATGATATCTTACCATAGTGTTTTAAAATGGACCCTCATTTTTTATATAAGAGAGGGCAAGTTTATTTATTAATTTAATCATTAATCTTAATTACTGAGCATGTTTAGAGTTTATTTATTAATTTAATCATTAATCATAGTAAAAAATCATGCAATTATTGAGCATGTTTAGAGTTTAAACATAATTATTAGCATATAAACAATGTTATTTAAAAATATAATATAGAATCACTAAAATAAAATATATAATTATTAAAATAATAATATTATTTTTTTTAACAAATAAAAATTTTAAATTTTTAGTTGAAACTTATTTTTATATTATATTTAAAATATCTATTATTTTTAAATTTAAAATACTTATATTTTATAATTATTAAAGAGAATAAAAAAAAAAGTCATCTAAATAATGAATTTTATAGTATAGGAATCTCTTGGGATTCGTAGTTATATGGGACACATAATGACATAATTTAGTAAAATAAAAATAAGAAAATAAAAAAGAATTTTAAAATCTGTGAAATGGGCCCCATAAGAAATGTTAAAATATTGAATTTATAATTGAGTTTGGTGCTAGATGATTTTGAGTATTTATACATACCGAGAAGATTTGAGATACTACGGTCATAATTTAACGTCTTAATGTTGAACGAAGATCTATCACACATGTATATGAATGAAAATTAGCATGATAAAACGCTAATATTTTTTTACGTGGAAAAACTCTAGAAAGATAAATAATAATGGGTCTAGCCAAGTCAAAGTAATTCACTACACAATTGTAAGTATATTGGTTCACTATTCTTCTGAATAAGAGAAAATGAAATTACAAAGCTAATAATCACATATATATAAATAATAGTATTTTAATTATAATAGTCATAATTAGGCTACAATAAATACTGGTTCTTGGCTGTAATTGTAATAGTTTGTCATAATTGTCTTAGTTGGTTGCTACAAAGGAGTAGTTGATCATAAAATGTTGTATTCGGTGGTTGCAATAACATCAATTGGCCACAGAGGTCGTAGATGAAAGTTGTAATGGTAGTAGTGGGTCACAAAGTTCGTAAATCGGTGGTTGGAAAGGTTGTAGTTAGTCGTAAGGCTTTAGAAGATGATTACAATAGCGGTAGATGGCCACAAAGGTCGTAGTTGGAAGCTTTGAGAGTAGTAGTTGTCGACAAAGGCCATAGTCGATGGCTTCAAGAGCAACAATCAACCACAGTGGTTGTAGTTGGAAGTTGTAACTCAAAGGTCGTAGTCAGTGGCTGCAAGAACAACATTCAGCCACAGAGGTAGTAGTTGGAAGTGTTAGCAGTAGTAGTTGGTAAGAAAGGCCATAATCGGCAGCTGCAAGAGTAATAATTATCCACAGTGGCCGTAGTTGTAGGATGTAACAAGAGTAGTTGGCCACAAAGGCTATAACTGATGACTGTAAAGTGTAGTAGTCAATCACAGGGGCTAGATTTAGGCGCTGTTTGGTTCGGCTTCTGCTGCGCGGCGCGGCGTGCGACCGCGGCTTCGTCCCGCATTCCGGCGTTTGCGGATCGAACCGCGGCCGCGATATTAGGCCGCGGTCACCGCTTTCCTTTACCCATTGTCCCGCTTACCCCTTTCGTTTCTCTGCAGCCCTAACGAGTTCCCTTGCGGCTCTCCTTTGTCCTCTTGCTTCCTTGCCCCGCGATCGACAGACCTGAGGTATAACGAGCATTTTTCTTCTTGTAATCGCAGATTTGAGGGTTCTTTACGATTTTTTCGAGTGTGATGTTCTCTCTACTCCTATCCTTCCTACTTCGGCGATTTTTTCTTCAACACATGGAAAAGACGACTGTGATGTTCTTTACCCCTTTCGTTCATCACTAGGGTTATGCCTTCTCTTTACCTTCTCCTTTGACGCATTCTTGTTTGGTGGCTGACGGCTCAAGGTTGGTCGGAGGTTGTGGTTGTGGTGGTTGATTCATGTGTAGTGGTAGTTGTTAATGCAATTAGTTGTGTGAAGTGCATACATGACAGTGCATATGAGCTGTCGAATTGATGTGGAGTTGGCTTGTGAATGTCATGATACCTTGCTCTTCTTCCTCC